TCAATCTCCCGACGAGTGGAAGCATCTACATACCGACTTTTCGTGTGTCGGGGTCCGAAACCATAAAACTCAACGATCTTTTCTTCCGGGCATATCACCGAGGTCCACCAGAACTTTAAATCAACAATTTAAACTAATAACTAGTAAATACCATTTTAAATTCATATATTTATTAATTATCATAAGATAATTACACTTAGCTATTTATATAATACTTACACAAACTGATTATATATAATATATTAGTTATAAGTAACATTTGTTAATAACTATTAAACTACAATTTATCTAAATTAACCTAAATTAAAAGATTAAGTGAATTTTATTTTTAATATATTTTTAAGTGAATTTTATTTTTTAACTATGAAAAAGATTAAGTGAATTTTATTTTTAATATATTATTAAGTGAATTTTATTTTTTAACTGCAAATTACTTTTTAACTACTATTAAACACCATTTATTTTTTAAGTGAATTTTATTTTTAATATAAATTTTAACCTAAATTAAGTGAATTTTATTTTTTAAATAATTTTTAATATATTAATGCAACTAATTAATATATATATATATATATATTTATTTGAATTATTTAATTAATCATAAAAATATAATTAATTAATTATTTTCAAACTTAAAAAAATCGTCCGGCCGCGGTGATCGACTTCGTGACCGGCCGCCTGGGGTCGACAATTCATGGTCAGTCTGGTCATACATTTGAATAACAGGAGCGGCGCCCGGTCAATATTGTCAGACGCCCTCGGGCGCGACCGAACCCTTTCCACCGGTCGTGCCCAAGGCGACCGTGATCCGCGGTCGGACATACGCTGCGCATTCGGCATCCTCGGTCGGACGCGACAACAAATTTTTTACAAAAAAATTAAAATATTAATTACAATGCCAAAAAAAAAAAAACATACCGACCCAATCATCAATCCATTAATGAGGCCCATGTGACGTCATGATATTTTTTCGGAATTTTTTTAGATGTCAAAAGAGAGTTTAAAAGCCGAGAGGGAAAGAGAGAAGGAGAGAGCGAAATAGTGTTAAGGGAAAAAAGGTAATTGAGGGGACAATACATATTAATAGGGGCGGTGAATACCGATTCGCTTCGGCGAAACCTTATGCATTCTTTCAACGAATCTATTTATATGGTATTTTTAAAAGAACAATCTAGGTAACTACGGCTCATTAATTTAGGTAATTTTAATGCGCCCACATGTCCCGAACAAAGCATTGGACAGCCGGGCCAACTGTGTCCCAGCTTCACATATAAAATTCATTTTTTATGTGCCAAAAAATGCTAATCGTAATGAAAAACAAATTCTGATGACATTCAATATTATAGGATTCTCTTTAGATAATTGATTTTTACCATGTACAACTGTTACATATTCGATTATGGACGAATTACCTGACCTATTTGAATGGAGATATTTCATAGTATACCAAATTTATAATATAATATACCATTTCTAAATATGTACCGAATTTAATAGATATATTTATAATGTACCATTATATATATATATATTATTTTTATGTATATATATAAATAAGAGTTTGTATTTATTTGAAATAAAAACTAAAATCCCGCCCAGAATTTTAAAAATTACTGTACTTGGTAATCTATTTTGAAAAAAAATTCAAAAAATTTCCTTCTCTACAAATTTATTAATCAAATTATGATATAAAATTAACAATATTTTTTATTTTGGTATAAAGTGGGTGATTTTATTTTAGGTATCTGATGAACAATTTTATTTTTGGTATGAAATGTGACATGTCCGAATTTAATTTTATTTGGTATGGATATAAGTGTATCTAGAAAATTTTGAAAACATAATAAGTGGTATGAATTTTAGTTGGTATGAGTATGAAAATTGGATTTTAGGTGATGATTGGTATGTATTGAAAATCATAAAGATCTTTGAATAAATATTAGTTAATAAATTTTAAAAATTAAAATTTAGTTATCAATAATTAGTTGATAAATTTGAACAATAAGGTGACCGACAAAAAATATAGTAAATTGTGAGATAATATGTATATATACGAAATATATAAAGAAATTTATTGTGTAGTTCAATTTTGAGTTCTAAATTTAAAATTCAAATATGTAATTATTCATAATTTACCGGTCAATATTATCTTGGACGTAAATGGAATTGTCAATTATTTATATTTTAATAAATTACTCAACTACTCAAACTTTTTAATTTTGACAGTTTATACCAAAATAAATTTATTTTAATTAATGAAACAATCTAAGGTTTATAATTATACTTGTTATTTTTATATATTTTTGAATATATGATAAAATTTAAACAAAATATTTATATTATTGGAATTACGTTGTAGTTAATCAAATTTATGAAACGCTATTTTAAAATGAATGCAATATAATTTATTATCAGTTGCATGCACTATACGGGTTGTGTACTAATTTTAAATAGATATATTTTATATAATTTTATACAATTTAAATTTTAGATATTATTTTCAAATAAATTAATATAACTAAATTGTATTTAATCTTGATTCTATATTTTAATTTAAAATTATTATTTAATGAGCATTTTTTAATTTAAGTATTATCGAATATTTTTACCCGTGCATCACACGGGCTATGAATTACTAGAGAGCGAGGGAAATATTAGTAATCCAGTGCCCTAAGGGGTTGTTTGGTTTGAGGGATTTGGAGGGGAGGGGAGGGGAGGGGAGGGAGAATTTTAATTTTCCCTTGTTTGGTTGGAAAATTAGGAGGGGAGGGAGAGGAAAATTTTAAGTGATTTTCCCTCCCCTCCCCCACTTTTTCTCCCCTCCAAAATTGGAGGGATTTGGAGGGGAAGTGGTTTATAATGATATGAAATTACCTTTTAGCCCTTACTTTCAATTGTTTTTAATTTTTTTTTTTATTTCATTAAAAGTAAATTCGTCATTTTAGTTTATTTTCCCTTCATCAACCAAACAAGGTTTACCATTTTCCCTCCCTTCCCCTCCTAAATAATCCATCCAAACAAGGTAAAATTATTTTACATCACCTCCCCTCTCCTCCCTTTCCCTCCATTAAAATCCCTCCCCTCCCTTCCCCTCCATTGAACCAAACACACCCTAAAGCACGCTAGTTGGTGGATTGAACGGGTAAAGCGCCGCACGTCTTCATCAAAATTCAAAGGTAAGCAGCATTCGAATTGCACAATATCAAATTATCGGGACCCTAACTCTAGACATTCTCTTTTCCATCTGTTAATTCACACAGAATTGCTTTATTTCATGTTGAAGAACTGCTTTTGGACCTTGACGATTCGTTGAGGTTCTCTTCTTCAGGAGGTTGATTTTTTTGCTCTATTTTGCTGATTCTGTCAACTGGTTTGGTTTAGTTTGAATTTATGGACATAATAAAGCTTGATTGTTGCAGTTTGTCAAACTATTTTGCTGATTCTGTCAACTGGTATGGTTTAGTTTGGATTTATGGACATAATAAAGGTCGACTGTTGCAGTTTGTAAATTCGATTGAATTTGGGGCAATGGAATTCCTGAGTAATTGTTTATAATTTTATTAAGTACTCTATTGATTTTTCACCTCAAGCTATTTAGGCAATGCATGCAATGGGTCAGCCTGGTTGTGTCTATTTTGTTATGACTTCCCTTTGAACCTAGGTTTTCTTTCTTTCTTTCTTTGTTTGTTTACATATGTTGTCTCGTGTAACTAAAACATTAGTCAAAATATTAATGCAGTTTCAGTTGTTGTTTATTAACTTTTTACTGTCAGGCTAGAACTAAAGAATGACCATATTTACCAAAGAAAATATTTGTAGTCGAGTATATTTATATTTTTCATGCAAGTAACTTAATTTATCTGCGACAGTCTGTGAAACAGATAATAAATTTAGATTATGGGAAGCGCATATTTGCTTGTGATGCTTCCCTCCCTGGTGGGGTGTTAGAATGGAGCTGGAATTTAATAAGTTTTTTAGATTATATTATTTTTAAAAAAATATGTGTATTTGCATTGATTCTCTTAAAATTGCTGAAGCTGTGTGGTGAAGTTGGCCATGAAGAAATGAACAATGCCCGTAGCATTTGTTTTCTTCACCATTGGTGTTAGATATGGAAGTATTCGGATTTGTCAAATGGACAAGAAACTCCTGCACCCAACCACCTGCTACCAAACACACATCAAAAGATGTAGGGGTGTCTTTATGTTTTGTGATTAGACTGTTGACTGGCGAGATGTTTGTTGTTTAACATTTTGTTTGAGCCCTTTCATATGTGCACATGTAGCCACACACACACTCCCGCACCTGAAACAAACATGATTAGCCCATTTCTAGTGTTAATAACTACACCGTGTCAGGGGGAAGTGATCATCAGTAATGGGATGTGTTATGTTGCAGGATAATACTATAAAGAAATCTGAATAAGGACTAGGTGAATACATAAGTATATGACAATGTTGCCTCATCTTATGAAATCTTTGTTTATGATAGATATCAGCGCTTGGACAACAATGAGCTTTGCAATCATACTTAGGGATGTAGGATGGGAGTGGGAGACTTCAGGGTGGAGTCTTTGGTATTTTTTTAGAATTGGAAGTTCTTGCTCACTCTATGAAGAGCTATTCATCTGGCAAAATTTAGAGTTTTAGAGTGGATGAGGAGATCATATTTTAATTCAAATAAGTTATAGCTTTGGAGTATCTTGGAGCACATGAACAACGGAGCTTGAGGAGCGCTACCGCTCAACTCAAGGATTGCTTTCTTGGTTTGGTTCATAAGATTTTTTGTTGTTTCCTTTTTTCCCATCATCTCAAGGATTGCTTTCTTGGTTTGGTTCATATGTTTTTTTGTTGTTACCTTTTTTCCCATCATATTCAGATGGTGGCAGGAAATGTGTAGGATTATAAGCTTGCATTGTTCACTTCAATAATCTGGTTCCTAATTGATCATTACTTTTGCTCCGCAGCTCCTACTATTAACTTCTTCCTCGAAGTCTAAAAATGAGTGATCGTTTCTCAAGGACAATCTATGTTGGAAACCTTCCAGATGATATTAGAGAATACGAAATTGAAGATTTGTTTTACAAGGTTTGAGTTACATAATTTGTTTTGTAGAATGCTGTGTGTACATAATAGTTTAAACATTTTCACATGTGGTGCGACCCATTTATTTAATTTTTAAGCCGGACTACATGTGAGAGTGCCTAAACCACTATGTACAGAAAAATTATGTGCACATAGCATTTTTCATTTATTTTTTAAGCCGGACCACATGTGGTGCTTTGGTTTTGTTGCATTACTCTCTTGTTTATTGGACCAATTAGAAAAAAAAATTCACTCTTTTACTTTTTTTTCTTGGACTTTTTAGTTATTACTATTCTATTGGCTAGGACGTTTTAACAGTTGGCTTAACCTTAATGTAGGTGTGAGATGGTATTACACCAACACTGAATTTATATGGCCTGTTGTGAATATGATGAGACCTTGTGTAATTCTTTTGTTCTCTCAACATTCACAATGGAAAATATATTACTACTTTTGTATCGTAATTATTATTGGATCCATTAAGTGGTTTTGATGTTTTTTATTTTTTATTTTTTATTTTTTATACTCCTCTTTTGTTCTTGTATAATTTATCGATCTTTCTTTCTTCCAACATCTTTTTTATTTTTTAAGTTTTAACTTTTTGTAATTTCATTGTATCAGTTATTAGGTTTCGGTACTAACAGATGGTTTTTTAGGATCTAGGAAAATTATTTTTGATACATTCAGTTGTTATATGAGGTGTACCTATTATGTGCCATTTTATATTCCTAGAATCAGTTGTCACTATATTTGTTCCATATTGCCTCTGAGTTGATAAATTGATCATTGCATGTGTTTTTTGGTTGAAGGCTTGCATAAACTAGGCATTTTAACAACTTCTGTTCTTTCTTTGTAGTATGGCCCCATTTTGGATATTGAATTGAAGGTTCCCCCTCGCCCACCTTGCTATTGTTTCGTGGAGGTACTTCAACCTCTATGAATAGTGCTTATCTTCGGTATTAATCAGTTGTATTTTTATTTTAGGTGATGACAACGGATATTTTTGTTCTCATCATTAGAAAGTTTGGGATTTAGTGGGTATTCGTTTTAATTGTACTATTAATTTGTAGTTTGATAGTCCTCGAGATGCAGAAGATGCCATTAATGGCAGAGATGGCTATAACTTTGATGGTTGTCGATTGAGGGTAAGAACAATTAATGGTTCTGTTACTCAGGTCATCATATAATTTGTTTCATAGTTTTTCCTTTTAGTTACTTTTGGTTTTTAATGTTTGCTACCAAATCTAGGTTGAACTTGCACATGGTGGCAGGGGACAATCTTCAAGTGATCGTCGTGGTGGTTATGACAGGGGCAGTGGTGGAGGCAGAGGCAGTGGCCGATATGGTGCTTCTCGTCATTCTCAATATAGAGGTGCACCTAGTTTACTTATGAATCTTTTGAATTGTTTCTATGTAGTACTCCTTGTGTTTGAACAAAAAAATACTATTCTCTTCAATGCCCTGGTGTGTGGTTGTGGTTTTCTTGATATAGTTATTGTTCGTGGGCTCCCGTCCTCTGCTTCTTGGCAAGACTTGAAGGTTGGTGGTGTGGAGTGTTATGTATTTACATTTTTCTGTTTTTTTCAGCTCGACTAGTTTATGAACTCTGAAAATATTTTAGGATCATATGCGAAAAGCTGGGGATGTCTGCTTTGCTGAAGTTTCACGAGACCGTGAAGGTATTTTCTGAACTGTTCTTTATTGTTAATCAGTTGTATAATACGAGACATGGACGTTTATGCCTAATTATGTTTATAAACTGCCAATGATGCCTCCTTACCCCATTCTTGTCAACTCAGGAACCTATGGCCTTGTTGATTACACAAATTACGAGGACATGAAATATGCTGTGAGTTTTCTACTTCTGCTGAACTTCTTTCTAAGCTTTATGTTTGTACTGTCTGTCCCAGTTATGTGCTAACACGTACATTATTTGTCCAGATCCGTAAGCTCGATGATACTGAGTTCAGAAATCCTTGGACTAGAACTTATATTCGGGTATTTTTTACATGACTTTATTTTTTATTTTTTAGTTATGTAATTTTTATTGCTATAGAGGTACTTGTGTTCCATTTTTGTTGCTCCAAGAGAATTTAGTGGTTATTTTTTTATTTTGGTAACTTCAAAAAATCATTTTTAGTTCCCATTTGTGATTGGTTTGGTGAATTTAGGTGAAGGAACTCAAGGGCAGTCCATCGAGAAGCCGGAGTAGGAGTCGGAGTAGAAGTAGAAGTCCCAGGAGGAGAAGGTAGTGTGGAGTCATACTAGTTTACCAACTTCTAATTACACGAATATCCTTGAGCTTCAATGCACTTGCTACAAACCCTCATTTATAGTAATATTTCAAGTACAATTATATTTTTTTTTCTTCTAGTTTAAGAAATGGGGTACTCACAACTTTTGAAAGTCTGTATCAGTAGGCCATATTTACTGTTGGTAAAATACACATGCCTATGATATTTGAACCCGAGACTGAGAATAGTTGTTAATTGGGCAGCGGATCACTTGATCGATCTGTTTCGAGGTCACCATCTGCATCTCCTATTAAGGCGCCCAGGTATTCATTGCTTTAATTATCTTGATGCAATCTTGTATGATGCAATTCCATTGTTTTCACAGTATTGCTCTTCTATATAACCCAGATCAAGGTCGAAATCAAAGTCTGCATCTCCTCGTGAGGTAACTCATGCAGAAAAATTGGTTAATGAATTTCTTCCGATTATTATTATGTCATGCTGTTGCTTCTCTTGAGTTGATATACTCTTGGGAGCTTACTTCTCCTGCTTTATATATATTTTTAATATACATGATATTTTAATTTCTACTCTTGTATTTTGAAGTCTCCCTTTTAGTTTTTGATGTCTTTACTAACGTTTGAAAGGCTCATTAATATATGTTGACCAAACACTTCAATTTACTTCTTGGAGGATGTAAGTTGTGACTAAGTTGGCTGTTGAACTTATGCTTTTATTGCAGGCAAGGTCCCGCAGTCCATGACCTGTGTCAGTTGATGCATAGCTTTTGGGATGCAAAATGTACCTTGGTCATATGATTTGATGCATGCATCTTAATTTAAAGACTGGATAATGTTTTTTCTGGATTGAGAAATATTACTAGGGAATGGATGGAATCACTATTATCGTGCTGTTTTGCTTCTGGAGATTTGTTTCGTTGTGGTTTGTAATCATCTCATTTTGCTAAAGAATTGGGAGGACATTTTGAGTTTTTAGTCTTTACTCCATGCTTTTGTTTTGGAAGGTTGAATTTTACTAAGGGAAAAATGAGAAAAATTTGAAATGCTGATTATTGTATAGTGCTGTGGTGTATTTGTCGGGGTGTTTAAATACATTAAAAGACGCTTTTAAAATTGTTAAAATCGGTTCCCATGTGGATCCGGAAATCGGAAGGTCCCTGTACCAAAAAAAAAAAATTGTCAAAATCTGAATATGTTCTGCACTTTCAATTAAAATGTCTTTTTTATCCAAAATTTAATGGTATTTTTTTTTTTCAAACAAAACAAAATAACATTAAACCTCAAATAATTACAAATGGGTAATCAACAGATTACAAGTTCACAAGAACAATACACTGTTTTCCTCCAAAGCCAACATTGCTAAACTATCACTACGCACGCAAATAGAACGAACCTACACCAGGGATGGCAATGGGGTAGGTCGGGCCGGGTAGTTCAGTACCCGGACCTGCCCCACGACCATAGGCCCGCGCCCCGACTTGGCCCGTGACCCGCCACGGGTCTAAGGATGCCGCCCCGCGACCTAGCCCACGCCGGGGCGGGCCGCCCTGCCCTGGCCTGCCCCTTTTGTTTTTTTTTTGTCTACAAATTAATTGCCTAGTTGCCTAAATTCTAATTTTAGAATGAATTCAGCCAACAACAGAAGCATGATTTTAACAGTCTGCAGATGAGAAGAGAGGCGGGCTGCTAAGGGTAAGGACAAGGTATGATATCTGAACCTAGTTACTTTACATATTGTTGTTAGTATTTTTACCGGAGTAGAATCGAAAGATTCGAACACCGGGTCGTATCACAAGGAAGGTTGGCCGGATTAAATTGCACGAATATTCAATCACAAAGAAACGAAAATAATCCTAACACTCTAATCAGAATGATTTTTGTATGATTTATCAGCTACGAACTGTGAAAATAAGCTAGCTATTTTAAACTCACAACTCAAACACAAATTCAAATAGTTTAAATGGAATAGGGCATCGGGGACAATCGTTTCCGGTTCTCAATGCATTTAACTGGCAATCAATTACTCGGCTAACAGAGTTAAAGACTAATTTATCTAGATGTTCATTCTCAATATCTCATGAAACAAAAGAATAAACATAAACAAACAATCATCAAGTCAATTAGCACATAGACAATACGTTTCCGAACAAGCCTACTCTAAACGAGCTGAGGTCGATCGATTTCTCCCCTTTCAGTTCTAAAATCGATTAAATGAATTAGGATGGTGATCAATCATCTAACCCTAGGTTTAACATAACTCGAATAGATTGAGCAATCGACATTCACATAAACGAAATTGAACCGGAACAATTATCCCCTAACCCTAGTTAACGAATCTAGCCACTCATTGCAATTTTAACATAAGAATACATAGCAGTCCAAGCACAAAACATCATAATTAAATGAGAAAAGATGCTTACGATTGATAAGAAAACCAATGTCGAAAACAAAGAGCAATCCAAATCCGAAAACAAAATCTTGAGGTTTTTCACCTTCAAGATTAAATCTAAAACCAAAGAGAAAAAAATAAGAGAGAAAAGATGTGTTTGTCGAGAGAGAGTTCAAAAATAACAAAGTACGGAATGTTTCAGCCGTAGGCTCGATGTTTCTTTTAATCCCGATCGAAAATCTCTTAAAATAACGGTTCCAAAATTTTGGGTTCCCGGCGCCGCGGCGCGGCAGATGGAGTATCGCGACCTTGACACGCCGTGGAAGATGGAGTCACCACGGCGCGATGCTCGCCGCGACACGACGCCTGGAGGTGCGAGATGCTGCTGTCGACAACGAGGTGCTGGCGCGGCGCGGAGAATGAAACTTGCCGCGGTGCGATGGATCGCCGCGGCGCGGTGCTTGAAATATTTCCTCTATCCATGATGTGGGTGCTGGAACACGCCGACGAGGCGGTCCTACCCACGGATCGGATACCAAACATGTACATACATGATTTCGATTAAACCTAAGCATGCTCCTAA